ATAAAAAAAATCAACTATATTGTCTGTACACAACTCTCCTTGGTCTATTGGTTGAGAGCTTAGGCTTCCATCTAAGAGGTCCAAGGTTCGAGTCTATGTGTATGCGTTTTGTGTGTGAGTTTGCCTAAATGGCCTAAATGTCCCCAAAAAAAACTGTATTGTCTGTAGAGTGTAATTTTATATGATTGGCTGTCAAGATATATTTGTTATTATTCATGTGAATCAAATTTGTGCAGTCTCACTTAGATTTTATTTGGGATGAATTTTTTACTGTTTCATAAAGTAATTTTTTTGTACAAAATTTTTTAATTTTTGTGCTAAAAAATGTTTTTAAAATCAGTTATAAAGACATCTCAAACCAAACTTATTTTCAGGTACAAAATTAAAATTTTTGTACTAAAAAATTAAAATCGTTCCAAACTAAACATTAATCTTCACTAAGGCGGAAGGAGGGACAGTTACTGCATTGAGTAGTCGCTTCTATTGAATATGTACGAGTGATCATTCATAAATTTTTCAAGTAGCACACCGACTAAAGAAGCCATAAAAGAGCTCGCCCGTGCAGCTTATTGGCGAAGAAATTTCTCCTAGTGGCTCACATTCGAAGCCCTTAACATTCCTACACAAAAAAATACGCCATAAACACTGCATCTTGTTTAAAATTTTAAAGTTTTGTACATACTTTTTTTTTTAATGAATCTTCTCATCTCAATTAAACTAATTACATTGATGGCTTTAAAATAATATAAATTATTATTATTATTATTATTATCACATATCTTTCTCTCTGGGGATTGAATGGTTTAACTGCTCATGATTCCTGAGATGAAGCCATTGCCTTTGAACCTTTGTCCCATTCAAATGTTGAGTGTTGCTGTAGAAGAACAATATTCGGATCTTTAATAATTATTCTTATTTTGTTAGATCAATATCGACCATCAAAACTGATTTCTTTTGGAGTAGTTTTTTTTTTTTTTTTCAAATAATTTCCGTTGTTAAGAAGTCATTTTCACAATCATAATTTCTACAACATTTTAATCCATTATTTTCCCCACCAAAAATTAAATAAAAAGCTTTCCAAAAAAAAAAAATTAGTCACTTTTTTTCGGGGAAAATAAAATCTAGTAAGTAGAAAAATCTGACAACTGAAAGAACACCAATAAAGGCTATTGATGTCATGATCTGTCAACTTCCCAAAAATTGGTGGATAGAGGATGAGCAACGCTACCCTCTTAAAATTTACTCACATTGGTCATAAATAATGCTACGCAATGAAAGAGAGAGAATCTAATATTAATATTTATTTTTTACATTATAATTTTTAAAAAAATCTTGTCTTAATTGTTAATTATTTAGTGAGTGAAGCATTACCAACATATCAAAATGAGATTGAGAAATTATTTTGTGTGGAGTTCGGACGTAGTTCTACGTAAGGACTTCAATACGATGTAGCCAAATTCGGTCGAAGAGCTACGTTCGGATTCCGCACATAATAATTTCTCGAAAAGTTAAATAATGATAGGAGTTATGTATAGTAGAGTTCAAAATAAATCTCATATCATTAAATAAATGATATTTGATACATTATTCATCTAATAATTTATAATACTTACTTTGAACTCTTAGGCTGCGTTTGGGATTGTTTTTGTACTGCTTCTTAAAGCAACTTTCAAGTCAAAAAATTATTATTTTTAAATTAGACGTAGTTCGGACGTAGTTCTACGTACGAACTTCAATACGATGTCGCCAAATTCGATCGAAGAACTACGTTCGGATTCCGCATAGAATAATTTCTCGAAAAGTTAAATAATGATAGGAGTTATGCTATAGTAGAGTTCAAAATAAATCTCATATCATTAAATAAATGATATTTGATACATTATTCATCTAATAATTTATAATACTTACTTTGAACTCTTAGGCTGCGTTTGGGACTGTTTTTGCATTGCTTCTTAAAGCAACTTTCAAGTCAAAAAATTATTATTTTTAAATTAGAAAGTTGTTTTAAAAAGCAGTAAGAAAGCTATACCAAACGAAGCCTTAGAAAATAATCTTTTAAAATGATATTTTCGTTTAAAATTCTTAAATTTATTTTGAGTTGAATACAATATATAAATAATTTTATTTCATTTATTTAAAATATTTTAAATTTATAAATTATTTTAATAAAATTTGATCAAAGTAATTAATTTGTTTTATAAAAATTAAAAATATAAGGTTAGGGAGGTTAAATTTTATTAAGACACCTTTCATAATTTTTAAGAATTTATAGCGAAATGAAATTAGCACAAGGAGGCAAAAATGAAAGAAATATCCAGTTAGATGACATCTAAGCTGCAACATAATTGAAAGGGAGTCGAGAGAAGCAAAAAAATAAGGGAGTTGCATCATAAGTGAAGTCAATATTGTTCTGATCAGTGTCATCTGTGAATAATATTGATATGTCAATAAAAATCATTTTTCTTTTGTCTTGGATGTTGATGTACATTTGAATTAGAAACTTTCAAAATTAAATTTGGGATCATTCAAACTCCGATTTCAACAAACTTATAGTCAAATGGAACGTCTCCACACCAAAATCAGTCTAAGTCGAGCTCAAATTAACTAAGATCAAACGATTAAAACATATTTATAAACATTAGATGATTAATTAGATGAAAAAATGATATTCAAATACGCTTATAGTCAAATTGAGCGGCTCGACAAGGGGAATCCAATGAGCCCAAGATAACTTAATTTAACATCATTAAGTGGCTTAAACATTGAATGAACTCTCTATGATCAAGGGAATTAGTATGGGTTGTTCGCTGGAGCACTCCAAATTTGCTTCAGATCTTCTCCATATTTATAAGGCATGCAACTTCAAAAATCTATAAATAGACATCCATTCTTTATATGAAGGGGACCTTTGGCAAAGACCTTAGGCTAGAGACTCAAGGGAGCTATGAGGCTTTGAGAATCCTGAAGCTTCACCTCAACACCACCGCCAGCAAACCCTTGTCACATGGTAGTCGTTGTTTGGACCTCCGCCCAAACATCACCATAAAACCTCTATTTAGACACCACCGCCGGATCTCTGCCTGACCTTCGTTGGCCATTGATTATGGTCCTTTTGACCTTCGTCGCTCGCCAACTACAATCTCTTCAACCACCTTCACAGACTATAGTCCTTCGACCTCAATCACTTAACTACAGTTATTCTGACCTCTGTCACTCATTGACTGTAATCCCTTCGAACATCATCAGCTGACTATGATTCTTTCGACATCTGTCGTCTATTGACTACGGTCCCTTCGACCACTATTACCCAACTACATTCCTTGAACATATATCGTATGACTATGATCTTTTGACATATGTCTCACACCAACCATGGTCCCTCCGACCACCATCACCTAACTAGAGTCCTTTGACCTTAATCACCCAACTAAGATCCTCCTGACATCCCTCTCACGCCAATTACCGTTCCTCAAACCACCGTCACTCGACTATAGTCCTTCTGACCTCCATTGTATGTCGACTACGATCCCTCCAATCACCATCATCAAACCTCTGTTGCCTGCCGACTATGATCTTTCTGACCACTGTCACCCAACAATGATCATTTGACCTTTATTGCTGATTTTAGTCCTTCTGACTTTAATTTTCCACCGATTACGGTCCCTTCCACCTCAGTTTCACTACTACGGTCCCTCTGAACTCAATCACCCCAAATATTATTCTTTGATCTTAGTTCCCCAACTACAGTCCTTCTGATCGATCTTAGTCTCCTGCTAACTAAGGCCATTCTGACCTCTTTCGTCTGTCAATTACAGTCCCTTCAACCACAATTGCTCGACTATGATCCTTCAACCTTAGTCATCATATTACAGCCCTTTTGACCTCTAGCACCCACTAATTATGGTCCAACCAACCAAACAAATAGGCTAACATTCTCTTCAGAATAACTCTCTTATTATTGGATTCTTCCGACTCCAATCATGTAATATGCTTCATATGATGTATATTTGGTATATTGAGCCAACATCTTCCCTTGAAGAAAAGCATCTTTTGTAATCAATAACAAAATTATTTAATTCAAATTAGAATTTTAAGAAGTGACTTAAATTAAATTGCTTATACATGCAATTGAATTACTTTAAGAATATCCATGCATTTAATGCATTCTAATTGAATAAAAACTATTGAAAATGAATTTAGGTATTTGTACATGGATAATGGATGATAGACAATAAGTTGTTTAAATATACTAAATAGACACTACCTACAAAGAAAAATATTTGCCATAAAATGAGAAGATATATATAATAGTTCAAACTCTTAACTATTGAGATATTGTCTTATCAGACATCTGGCCTGATGACCTCATGGATTTATCCCTTTGGTGCAACATCCGAAAAGCTCAATCATTCTAAGACTTCTTTTTGGACGTTTTTCTTACTGCTTCTTAAAATAATTTTTTAGTATAAAATATAAAATTTTTATACTAAAAATCTGCTTTAAGAATTAATAAGAACGTCATCCCAAACGAAGCCTAAGAGTGCTCTTACGAGAGCAATTTTAGCTTTTGAGTGTAAAGAAATTTTAATTATTACATCAAAATGCATCTTGATGTTTAGTATTTTAATTTCTTTTTACTTAATGGTTTCACAGTACAAATTATTAAGAATAATTCATGAAAATTTTATTTGGCATCCAAGATAAAATCCTATCAAAATAAATAAAAACAAAGAATTATAAAATCGATTTAATATAATTAAGGTAAGTTTAGTTGTAAGGATACTTATTGCTCATACTTACTATAACCTATATTTTGGAATATTAGCAAAAAAAATTATTAGCGAAAAAACTGAAAAAGCGGTTAAACAATAAAACAAGCTATTAGTTCTCCGAAATTACTAAATTGTCCAACAATCTCATACTCTAAACAGAGAAAAGGACGGGGTTCATTCCGTCATTTCTCCTATCAAACAGCTCCTTATCTGCAATCCACTGTTAGAGTCAACGACCTCATTTGCATCTGAATTCGTTTGGAGGGAATTTACCTCCATCTGATTCTCGTTCCTCTCCTCTCTCTGGCCCCCGAACTTCCACGCCATGAATTCTTCGACAGCTCTCTTCACGTTGCAAGCTTGATACTAACGCTTTAATCGAACAAACCTGATATACTTCAAAGAGTTCGATGCGAAATCTTGTGAAAAGTTTGTATTCTTGTTTTTTGGGATCTCGCGATTCCATGAGTTAGAGTTCACAGCCCCACCAAATCCAATTCGATGGCGGAAGGCGGCGGAGGCGGGGGAGGCTTGGCAGCACCGGTGGAGGAAGGGGCAAAGCGGCCGTCGATATCGCTTCCGGCGCGGTTCACGGTTGAGAGCCTCTTCCGTGGTGGGGTCTCAGAGGCGAGTCCGGGTCCGATGACGCTGGTCTCAAACTTTTTTGCGGAGGATCCGGAGTCGGAGTGCCGCTCTTTCTCGCAGCTACTTGCGGGCGCGATGGCATCTCCGGCGGCGATAACGGCGCCACGAAAGTTTCTGGTCGAAGGGGAGGATACGGCGGCGGCGCGTACGTCGGTGGAGACGACGATTGCGGATGAGCGAGGAAGAGGGGTAGGAGGAGGAGGAGGAGGTGAGCGAGGAGGGGCGAGTTTGAATTTGGGGCATAGCCGGCCGATGAATTTGTTGGTGGCGCAGTCACCGTACTTCACTGTTCCAGCTGGGCTCAGCCCCGGTGGTTTGCTCGATTCTCCAGCCATGTTCTCTAATTCGGTGCGTTTTTTTTTTCTTCAAAGGTTTAAGCTATTTATTCCTATATTCTTTCTATCATTTCTTGACGTTCTTATCCTTGTTGGCAGTTTGCTGATTAGATGGTTCTGGAGTTTCTGAATAGATGGTGGATTTTAAATTATAATTCGGTCTATGGTCTGTTAGGGGGCTGAATAATTATCATTAGGAGAGGGATTTCTGTATTATAGCGTAGGAACAGATATTTGGTTAATAGGAATAAGTTTTACCCCGTTTCAGTTTCTTGCTCCATTTTCAGCTGTTGATTTTTTACTCTGAATTTATCTCTCTGGCAATGCATAGCATCTTTAACTGTCTTTGAGATTGTTTCCTGATTTTGTGAGCATCAGGTTTTCTACTTTAAGCTGATGTTATTGTAGCAAAGTGAATGATCAAGTAGTACTAATTAACTTGCCACTGACTTAGGTTATTGAATTTGATACTGGAATTGAAGAATTGGCCCTTTTAGCCATTTACTATAATTCATCCTCCCTGTAAAATTTTCCACTATACCATTCCGAAATGAATTTCCTCCTTTATTCTCACAGCTATATTGTGGCTAAAATTTAATTTCAAGCTAAATCTAACCTGTTCTAGCCAAACTTTTGCTAGTGAAAAAATAAATGCCAGTATAGAATTTTTGGCTGAAAATTAATTATTTCAACGATTCCCACGTTCTCAGCGTCATTGCACTCTAGCAAAGCAATGCGAAAGCAGGAGAGAGTAAGTGAGAGAAAGGAAAAGAGAAGTAGAGCTGTGAGCTTCTCACCACAGGCCCCTCCATCAACGCAGGTCGAGATGGATTAGTCTATAGTGACTTCCACCTTCCTCATCTTCTCTCTTCTTATCTTTTTCACGCTTTCCTCCAACCACCAACAACTGCAACACCATCCTCATGCCCTTCCTAGCTTCTGCTACTTTGAGCTCACTGTGTTCTTGAAGAACGCCCTCCTCCTTCACCCCTTGGAGAATGAGGTAGAGGATCTGGGAATTGAAAATTGTCTTAGAAAAATTCAAGTCATCTAAAACCTGTTCTTGAGAATTTTAAAGACATGTTGATTTGTTAAAAAAATATATATATATATAGCAAACTTTTTTTGTTAATTCTTTAGTCTTTTTATATAAAAAATAAAAAGTTATGCCAATGAATAGTTATGTGTGAGGTTCAACTACTTCAGATACCATCATATTTTTCAAGTATTCAATGTGCGATGAAACCCAATTCTCTCTTATGCCTTGATAATTCCTTATCATCCACATCAACCAACAATCCCTATCAAATGAAAGCTTTTATATATTATTAAGTGATTTATATGAAGAGCCCAATTGACCACATGTAGCTTGTGTGGGAGCTATGATGCACCGACACTTCTCCTCAAAGAGGCGTGCAGTGTCCGACACCGTGTCTGACACGACACTTGTCCGACACTCCTCCGACACGCGTCGGACACGCCGAAAACATGTCCGATTAAAAAAATATTAAAAACAAATTGGACACGGGTGTCCGACGCGCGTATCTTAAATATTTTATAATTTTTTTAAAAATATAATTTCTTATATTTGGCGAGATTTAAACTAAATTTCTTATTTTCTATCCACAACACCAAATCAACGCCTGCATTTAATACCCATTCATCGAATATTCTCATTTTCATTTCTCTTTGACAGTGAAGGAATTTTCATCTCCTCCCTTTTTGCACAATTACAAATCTTTCTCTTATTGAACCAGAGTAGAAAGCAGTAATATTCAATGATGATGATATTGAAGGCCAAAAACAAACCTCTAAAGCTAATCATAGTAGTTGAAGCTTGAATGCTTGATGTTGTAGTAAGTGATTATTTGCTTATATTTTTGTGGTTGTACTAGATATTTTGTACTAAATATTTTATATTATAAGCTAGACAAGTTATCATGTCATTCATTTATTATTGTTTGTCATTTTTAATATGATATTACATTAATATATATATATATATACTATATAAAAAAATGTATTGCCGTGTCCGCGTCGTACCCGTGTCCTATATTTTCAAAAAAAGCCGTGTCCCGTGTCCGTGTCGTGTCCGTGTCATCATGTCCGTGTCCGTGCATCATAGTGTGGGAGTTGCCCCCTGTTGTATCTTGCTCAGCCATAGTAGAAGGTTACAAAGACTCATTGGAGCCATAAATTACATGAACAATTAAATCCATGTTGAATCATCAGCCATGATATCAATTGTTGGGGAGTGTTAGCAAAAAGGGTTAAAATTGGGCCAAATATACCAATGATCAAATTGCTTTTCAACACAACAACTTAAGCTTATGAGTGAAGGTTAACCACTTTAGTACTTCTATACAAATATATTTTCTTATTACCCACTGCACAACTAAATTCAATACTTTCATGTGCCTTAACTTTAGTGCCTTTTGATCCATGCATAAATATTATTGGGTTCAATAAGTGAGCAAACTAAAATACTTTCTCATTATATGGTACATATATAGCTTCAAAATAAAAATTGGCATCATCGTTGTTCTTATTGACTAGATTAGACAATGTTCTTATAATCTAATTTGTGTTGTATTGTCTAGTTGGAGGATGTCATACCTTGCTAAAGTTCTTCTACTCATAGTTTTGCTAATGTGAAACACCTCTAAGAGTTTCTTGGCAAATAATCTTTCAAACATGACAGAAATCATGTGTATCTATTGATTTACTCTTGTAATTTAATTTTTATGTGATAGACATCATAACATAGAAGTTCTTTTCTATCTATTGTTTATTTTAAAATCACAATATGGTTCCTCAACTTTTTGTATGTGGCCAATTTCCTGAAGTATCACATTTTGCTATTTTAGTCTCTCGATTATACAAAATTGATCTCATAATGGCTCCTTAAGTAGAAATTGTTGAAAATTAGGATACAAAGTTAATCCTATTTAATTCTACAAGTATGTAAAATTAATCCCATTTATTTCTGGATGGACTATTTGAGATCAATTTTGTATAATTGATTAAATAAATTGGAGAAATTTGATACTATAAGACTAAATTGATCACATATGAATAACCAGATATATTCCTATTTCTTTCTTGCCAAAAAACAATGTGGTTCAGTTACGTCTCCCCTTCTTTGTGTTTGCTTGATTCAATGTATTAGTCCATCTCGAACCATCGTATTGCATGACACACATGTTATGATTGACTAGGAATGTTTATAGTCGATTAAGAAAGACACATTGGTTGACTAGGAAATATTTCATGGTCAACAAAGAAAATGTGCACTCTCGAAGTGATGGCCCAATTTGGACCGCTACCTTGGCCTTGGCAATGGGTTTGTGGGAATGTGATGTGCTGTTCATTTGCTCCTTCATTTGGAAGTTTAGCAGATTAATCCTCATGTTTTTAGCTGGTTCCAATTATCTGGCTAATTGGTTGATGGAAGTGGTGAAATGATAGGATTGGAGGTAAAGTTGAGGTTTACTAGCTTAATGCTGTATGTGAAAGTTTAATTAGATAGATGAGGATCGTCATCGCTATTATCCTTATCATCTTCATTAGGTTTGTCCCAACTGTTTGGTGATGACTTGATGAATCCTCCTCTAAGTTTTCCCTATGGCAAGTGATACTAAAATTAAAAGGTTTGCATGCAAGAGGGTTCATAGTTATTGCCAAAATATTTTAAGGTATGATTGGTGAGACTGCAATAATAATGGCCATTTCAAGTGGTGAAATTGTAGTTTTCCATCATCATGTCTTATTTATCCATAGTCCTTCTCTCATCAGTCTTATTAATCCTTTTTTCTTTTCATTCTTTGTTAAGGGAAAATTCATCTCATACAATTTGTTAATATAACCAGGTTTAGAGATAGTGAAGGTTTGCACATTTCTTTTTGAATTCCATTAGTGTTATGGCGCTTGCTCAAATCTGTATGTGGTTGGTGAAACAAAAACTATATAGAGGGTAGAAATACTAAGAAAAATGTTGGGAAGTAAATCAAGAATAAAACAAACAAGAACAAAAAAAAACAACGGAGCAGAACACTAATATTCAACATAGAAAAACTCAAAATGGGAAAAAAAATCACGGAGCCATACCACACCATGAAATCCATTATGAAAATGGGAGAAATTGTATAGATCTTCACCCTCACACTCTCATCCACCATCTACAGATGCGATGACAATAGTATCTCTTAAAAATGAAGTAAAAACTGACCCAATCGACCTACAGTGCTAAGGTGTTGTACCCGCAGCGCCTCAGCTCTAACTTCTCTGTCTTGTAGAGCGGTGGTGCTAAATTACAGCTCTGCGATGTTGTTCTCTCTGTCTCGAGGGGTTCCATAGCGCCTTGACGCTGGATTTATAGCATCACAGCTCTATATAGACAACTTTTTTTCTGGAGCTTCACCGTAGAACTCCCAAGCAGGGGCACGCTGCCCCCCTACAACCCTTAGCGAGGTTCTCGTCGAACTCAACTGACAAAATTAAAGTCTAAGTCCACAATGCAATCTAATTGATCAGCACAATTAGACTCCATAGAAAAGATACTTGAACTAGTTTTTTCATAATGATTCATTGCCTAGTATTTGTGAGGGTTATCAACATCATCATCATCACTTGGAATTTGCAGTGTCTTAGCTATCCTTCACTTCTAACCTTAATCTTTCAATACCTATACTTGATAATTCTTCCTTGTTAGAGTTAGTCATATCATTTTTTTGCATTTGGATATACTTCTTAGTTATATGTAATTTTGAAATATTATTTTGAAGCTGTGGTATTTTTTGAATCTATTCCTTTTCTTTGTAAACTGATCTTGGAGCGGATTAATGGTCTAACATGTAGGAAAGCATCCACTTCTATGATGCACCGACACGGACACGACACGACACGGACACAGGACATGGCAATTTTTAAAAATATAGGACACGGGTGCGGCGTGGACACGGCATAATAATTTTTAAATATAATATATAAAAATTAAGGTGACATTATAGTAAA